GAGTTTAATTTTGTTTTGTTGATTTTGATTTTGTTGTGAGGAAATTGCTCAGGATTCAATTTCTACGGTTTCATAGGTAGCTTTTGCAATGGATTCTTTTCTAGATTTTGCGGATTAGTGGATTGGGATTTACCTAGACCAGATGAGGAGGGTTGGTGGGCGAAGTGTCTTGAAGTTTTTTGTGAGGAAGGAGGAAAAAGTTTCAGCAATATTTTTTTAGTTTTTTGGCCTAGGAATAGTTCGATAGTGCCTAGTTCTATTTATTGTCATCTACATCGTCCCTTTTGAGCTTCTTTTTACTTGTACCGTGTATCACCGCTCTCTCCACTTCAACATGGGCCATGCGTTTACGACCCCCCCCCATCGCGGGCAAATACGACCCCCCTGTTGTGATGATCACAAAGATGGCGTGCCCTGGGGGGAGGGGGGGGTGGGGAGGGGCCGCGTGAGCGAAGAATCTTGGCAGAGAGACATACGCACACCGTTCCAACCTATCCTCAAGACTGTAACCGTGCTCGGATAAGATGAAAGGGATAAAACTCTTGATATGTACTGTCTTCCCCCCTTCATCTCCCCGCTTATCATGATTATTTTCGAGCTTCTCAGCCGCAAAGTATTCAGTTTGTAAATCCTCAGCGAAATAGCAAAGATTGCTTTTCTACGAAATTAATAACGAATTTACCTGCTTATTAAGTAATTTGTGCATAAAGCTGTAGAACAATCATGAGGTTTATCAGCTCATTTGAGAACAAATCTGAAAAGAATCATCATAGAATCGACTTCCCTCGTTAAATTACCATTAAATCCGATCTGTCACAAAAAGCACCACTCTCTAATATGAAGTGGAAAAAACGCATAAATTAATATTTGGGAGGGACTAGGCAATTAAAGTGAAGACGAGGGGAGGGCGTGGGTACGTACTTGAGAGAGAATCGATCAAAATTCAATCAAAGAAAATAATAAAAGAGAGCTTTCAGAGGCTTGTTCGTCATTCAGACTTTGGAGTGGCACTTTCAAATGACCTCTCGGGATCTCATACGCCCTATAGCCCAGAGATGGAGAGGAAGTGGATACGTACTAAATTTGAAGGTGGCGACGGCTGCCCTCCTAATGTGTTCAATGGCATTATCCCATGAAAAAAAAACGTCTACGTCATAATCGAATGAACTAAGCAACTACGCTCTCCCCATCCAGTATATGGAGCGTAGCGAAGACATGTAACCCAGTGTTCGTACACTTGACGGGACAAGTGGGTTTGACCAAGATGAGAAATGTAAGTTGACAGAAACTAGTACGAGGAACTAATAACTTGAGCAAATGCCTCCCTCCCCCTCCCCTTCCTGAGCCGAGAAGTGTCGTTTACACCTTTACACGATAGCCCACCTCCCCCAAGCACGCTAGTCCATGGAGCGAAATCTCATTACCATTCACTTACTGCTCGTAAAATGAAAGAGAGCACGCGTGACAATGTGAATGGATCTATAGAATTTTGCATTGCCTGCAATTTTGATAGTACATCCAGAGTGGTACTTACAGATGATCAACTATTTCTCAGCGCCGTCTGTCGGAAACTACTAGGCCACTGGATAGTGTCAGGCATAGAATTCCCAGGAAGTGCTGTGAAAGAGAGTTCTGTGTCACTCAGTTCTTTGGCAACTTTTCTCCATATTCGTGAAAACGAAAGCGTATCTGTTCAATATAGTAATGCACGAAGCTAGCTTTGTCCATCTCACCATCAGTGTTTGCACCCGTACGAAGTACACACAAGTTCATGGATGAGTTCAAACCCCAGAGCAGGACATAGCATGGGTAAAGGGAAATGGTAGTTTCACTACTCCTAAGAATGTACTAGTCTAGGAGGACTCTGAGGACCCTCGGAACGTCCTCTCACAACCTACCACCTTAGCCAATTGTTTCAGCTCCCTATCAGTTTTCCAGAAGTCTTACTGGTTTTTCCTACGAAGGAAGTGCAAAAAACCACCGTAGATGAAGGGGTAGATATGTAATGCTCACGAGAAATTGCACAGGGGAAAAATTCACCACGCGACGAGGA